CCTTTCTACCGCTCTCATCTGCCCCAACCCCCACGATCCTCTTTCCTCCCCAAAGTGTCTCCCTTCTGCTTGTGTGTTAAACATTTATTTCTGTATTCCATATTTGTCTTTCTGAGTCTTATTTATTTGGCCAACAGGATGATCTTGTCATCCACAAATTCCATAATCTTATTCTTCTTGATGGCTGAATACAGCTCCACGGTGAATATGCACCACACTTTATCCGCTCACAAATAGAACAGCTCCCCAAGAAAAGAAGATCACCGGGCCCAATATATTAATAGTGGACAGGCGGTTGTTCCACATCTTGGCTGCTGTGAACAGTGTCACTTTAGACACAGAAGTGCAGGTGTTGCTTGGTATGCCAGCTTAGATTCCTTTGTTATGACACCAAGAAATACTATAGTTGGATTGTATATGGTAGTTTAATTTTCAAATTTTTGAGGAACCCAAGAATACTGATTCCTATAATGACTGGCTAACTTGCATTATCACCAGCAATGCCTAAGGATTCCACTTCTGCCTTCTCGTGGTCCATATTTATTGTTGTTGTTTTTCTTTATGGTAAATACTGATTAGACCCTCACCAAAAGTGTTGCAGTAAAACAGCAACAGCAAACCTTCTTCTTCTTTTGTTTTTTTTTTTTTTGATTTGCAAACATTGGAGGTTGGGCGGGCTGTGGGCAGCTTTATCTTGCCATCACCAGTCTTTGTATAAATTAAATTATAAATTATATTTACAAGACATAAGTGCACCTGCTTTGCCTCTTGCCAATAAATTTTCATTGATGGCAATTATTGCAGCTACAACATTTTTAAGAAAGACATCCAGGTGTTTTAGAAGCTCCAGAATGTCCATCAGGATTTCCCAGCATCTTCTGATCAGTCCCAAGTGAACTCTTTCTGTGATAAGGACCACCAGGGCATTTGAGGAAAGGCTGATCATGGTGACTAAGGCACACACACGGTACCTCAGGAAACCTGGGAGGTATGCTGGCTCACTGCTTGCAGTTTAGCATCCTCAGCTTCTTCGGTGGTCAGATTGATTTGGAAAGGGGTGTGTGCCCTTGTTTTTCAGAATGTTTAAGTCCTCAGAACAGCACAGGCCAGTAGGTGCACCTACTTCAAAATAAAAAAGTCTGAAAACCTTAAGAGTAAATACGTGGTGTAAGCCCACTGGTCCAGGTGAGGGGACACAAAGGCACACACCAGGCAGTTTCCCCCTTCACTTCTGGATGGAATGTGAAATACCAGAGACAGGGAACATGGTCACACCAAGGGATGGTTTTCCTCTGAATAGAGTAGGCTACAGAAGATGGCAATATTTTCCCTAAAATAGATGACCAGCCCACAATAAGAGAGTGAGTATTGGATTGTTTTATAGATCTTGGAGAATAGAGAATTTTGCAAAGGATTTACTGGCATCCCACACTAACTCCTCGGGTTCATTTACCCTTAATTAGAGTTCTTTGCACCCTGGTGTACAAACAGATTGAAAATCATCCATGCAAAAAGGACCATCTTAGAAAAAGGCAATGCATCAAAACGAGTTTGATTACTGAATACATCATTTTTCTCTTTTTAACTCTCACTTATTGAAAACTAACAGGCAGTCTTAAAATTTTAGCCATGTCGGAGTACATTTATCTCAGTTTCAGGGTGCCTGGCATATCTTGGCATGTAATTTTGCTTTCATGAAGTATGAGTTATAGGTGTTCCATTCAGAGTGTCCAGAATCCTGTGGTACTATTAATTAGGATGTGAAGAGTTAGTCAAAACTAGAGCTTCTTTTATGTCCTGAAAACTGGTGCCAGGGCTGGAGACATGGCCCAGTGGGTAAAGGCTTTTTCCATATGTGCAGACATGAGGACCTGAGTTTGAATCCCCCAAAGCCATGTGAAAGCTGGATGTGTATTGTAATGAAGCCATTTAAAATATGTTCAGACAGTGATGAATTTTAAAAGTGACCTAGCATGAGCTTCTCAAAAAGCCAAGCAGAATGATGAGCCCACTGAGGTATGGAACCAGCCACTTCTCACTGCCTACCACATGCATGTTTCTTGTTTTGAGGATTTGGTTAGTGGAACTGGGACCAGCTTGCTACCCATGTGTGCGCTGATGTTAACCACCATGTGTTTCATCAGTACACTTTTGCAGTTATCCCTCTAGGAATTTTAGGTAGTCACAGCATTCACAGCCTAGAGAAAAAAGAAAAAAAAAAGCTTTATGCAAGGGACTTACTGCTAACTCTTACCAAGAAATACACTGTGGGTCTGGAGAATACTGTTCAGTGGTGTAGTGCTTGCAAAGCATGCACAAGGCCCTGGGATTGATCTGTAGCACTAGAAAAGCAAGCAAGGAAGGAAGGGAGAGAGGTGGGTGGAGGGAAAGAGGGAAATTAAAAAAAGATACTATGGCCCTTACAATACACATGAATATATGTATATAATACATATAACTATATATGTTAATGTACACCACAAATGTTTATAGAAATAAAGGCTTCATAAAATGGACGTATGCTTTTCCTTATTCCTTGAATTACAATCAAATATCATTTCTATCAAATTTTCTAAAATGCTATGGAGATTACTAAATTGATTTCACGGCTCATAGACTGAGTACACTGACCTGAGCCGTCTGCCCGTGTCCACTAGTGGATGACTATAGCATCATTGTAAGCAGGGACAGATACTTAAAATGGTGCCATATTTTGACCTCCCAGTTAATGCAGAGAATTATGTGTCCTATGGTTCATTTGGTCAGGCCAATTTACTACAGAATGACCTTCCCTGAAATTGCATTTGCTGAAGGCATGACTAATAGTCCTTTATTGTATTAAAGGCTCAACAAAAATCAGTTGTTAAATGGATGGACATGTTTTGCTCTTTGACATTACATTATTTGAAATGTCAATAGCAATTTACCTTACGGTACCATAAATGAATGGATACATTCTTTTAGGCTCTATCTCTAGGTGCTGGCTCTACACCCTGGTTTTGTTGTTTGACATCTTTATATGTGTGTGTGTACACATATAAATATGTGTGTATACATATATATGTGTATGTAGTGATATGTAAGTAAAGCTTTTATGTCTTACTTTAAGTGGAATGTATAGTAAGGCCCTTGTGTCTGGCTTCGAGAAAAATGTTTCAGCAAAGCCTTTGCTATGTTTGGGTTGGTTGATCAGTAGAGACTGAGACATTGTTTTGAGCTGTTCGAACCTTGAAGAAATGTCATCTCTCTGGAGAATGTGCACTTGGTGCTATGTGCACCGACCTTGGTTCTAAGACACTCCTGGCAAACCTGGCTAAACACTCCTGGCTACCCATCATAAAAAGGGACTGAGATTTGTGTGGGTTGTCTACTCTCATGGGCAGCAAGAGCAAGAGAACTTCAGTAGTTGGAACCTTTTCCAACCTCTTTTAACCTTTTATGGATTTGAATAAAGTAACTGGAGTGAACTAGCTGGGTGTCAGTCTTTCCCAAGAAAGCTGAACCCTCTGCTCCTTCGGAAAATAAAGACTTAGCATCTTGATGCTCTTCTCTCTCTACTGCAGCACCTATGACCCAACATCAAACAATATGTATGTATATATACATATATATGTATATATACACACACATATGTATGTATGTATACATATATATGTGTACACACAGATATGTATGTATGTATGTATGTATTTGGTTTTTCAAGGCAGGGTTTCTCTATGTAGCTTTGCAGCCTGTCCTGGAACTTACTCTGTAGCCCAGGCTGGCCTCGAACTCACAGAGCTCTGCCTGCCTCTGCCTCCCGAGTGTTGGGATTAAAGTTGTGCACCACCACCCAGCCTAAAACAATATATTTAAGATAATAATTTGAAACAAATAAAAGTAATATTTTCTGAGGCAGTTTTTCCAAAATTTAGGCTCAAGATTTTTTTGAAATTACGATGAAATCTATAATTCATCTACCTACCAGACTAGATGAAATTTTAATTGTGGGACCTTTTACTTGAGAGTCTTTCACCTGAATAGTTTGGCCACTGGTCTTACCATATCTTCGAGTCAGCCAGTCCTTCTTATCAGGACCCTTTCCCAAGGGGTGGAGAAATGCCTTAGTGGTGAAGAATGCTCGCTACTCTTCTAGAGGATCCGAGTTCAGTTGGACGCACCTACATGGGTGGCTCACAACCACCTGATATATATAACTCCAGTCCCAGGAGATCTGACACTCTCTTCTGGTCTCCAAGGGTACCCACACATATGTACCAACACACAAACACACACAAATAAATAAATGAATGAATGAGTGAATGAATGAATGAATGAATGAATGAATGAATGAATATAGTAAAATCTTCCTTTTTAAGTCAGAGGAATGAACAAAAGATCATATTTGGTACATATATGGTACAAACCCTTATGTTTATACTCATTCAGCTGTCCTATCTCCTGGACAATGGTGAGAACCAATCTGTCAGCATGTCTGCCATCACATCACCCCCGTCAGGTTACAAGACCCCTGCTATGGGGTAGTAACAAGGGACTCAAGATTTCGGACAGCCCCCTAGAGATATTTACAGCCGTGCCCAAAATTCCCAGCAGTCGTATGGAAGAGACGCATCACAGTGTTTCTCTTTGCTTTAATGAGTCAAGGTACTTATTTTAAAAACACCAGAATGTTGTAACGTTTAATGAATATCATGCAGACGATCCAACACTGAGCACAAACCTCCTCTGAACGGCAACGTGAAGCTGTAAACCGCAGGAGTAGGGTGCCACTGCCACCTGCTGGCCACATAGCTTAATTGCAGTTTCAAGTTTGGATGAGGCAGTCATGTGCCAGTATCCGCCAGGGACACGTATTATAAAATGATAGAAAACGCGCATTGTTTGCTATGTCAGGGGTGGGAGAGAATACGTATTGCTAGAGTCTGCCTTGGGTTGGCCCTTCCTACCTCGCGGTAGCTGTCCCAGGCCCAGCCTCACGTGTTCTCCGTCCTTCTTGGCAGGATTGGAGGCGCCATCCCTACCGTATTCTCCTACTTTGCTGAAGTCCTAGCCCGGGAGAAGCGGGGTGAGCACCTCAGTTGGCTCTGCATGTTCTGGATGATTGGTGGAATCTACGCTTCGGCCATGGCCTGGGCCATCATCCCGCACTACGGTAAGGGGCTGGGCCATGTCTCCACTTCCCTCCCCATCTGCTTCCTCTCTGTCCTGAGCTCTGGCTTGGGGACAGTACTGTCCTCGTCAGGTGCCTGCCACTCATACTGTTCGGGAGGTGTCTCTTTCCATGGAATGGTCTACATAAAGTGAGACTGTGTCAAATGGTCCTTCGGGCATATGGATAAAACAGGCAAGAGTCCTGTAATGCTCTTGTGCAGCGCTTCAGGTCACCTCAGCCCCCATTTCCCCCATAGCCGGAAACTCCTTCAGTCCCACCCATCCCTGACATTGACCTAGGTTCAGAGTCAGGTCCCACAGGTTGAGAACTCAATCCTGCGTGACTGGCCCATTTCTGATGCTTCCGATGCCAACTGCAAGTCCAGGCCTCCTCTGACTGACGAGCTAGAAATTTGACCTTTCCCCAGACCCCCTCCTCATGATCAGTTGGTTTCTGTGATGGTTCACAGATCTCAGGGAAATGCCTGCCTTGAATTTCCCGGTTTATTATCAAGGATGTTACAGAGGACGTAGGTGAGCTGCCAGATGAAGATGTGGAGAGGGTGAAGGGCCTCCATGCCTTCTCCAAGTTCACCTTTCTCCATGCTCTTCACGAGTTCAGCATCGTGAAGCTTCCAAATCTCATAATTCATGGGCATGGTCAGTTACTAACCCAGTCTTTAGCCAGAGGACACATAACTGTGGTATGTCTTTCTGGTGACCCGCTCCACCCAGGAACTCATCAAAACTAGCCTCATCTGAAGAAAGACATTCCTATCACCTAGACAGTTCCAGAGGATGAGGAGCTCTGAGCCATGAGCCGAGAATGAAGTCCCACTCATATCTGCTACCAGGAATCACAAAATTAGAGTCAACTTCAGCATTTTGCTCTTGTGAAGCCATTACTTTCATTTATTGGCTACAGCTATTGAGCCTGATCTAGGGTTGGAATCAGACTCCCACAGTATCCAGGAGGGACACAGACCCTCCACGGGGCACTATCCAGAGTGACCACACCAACCACCAGCAGCAGCAAGTGTAGAGATGTGACTTCCCATCTCTCCTGAGACTGCCGTACTTTTCAGAGACACACGGGTGCCCGGTTCTGTGTCAGCCCCTGTCCGTCTTCAGGAGCTCAGCTGGCGCGGATTAAGAGTGCTGTCTCAGGGACCATGGTGTGCGACACAGGAGAGGTGACACTTCCTGTCCACACTCCCCAGACCCTCTCGTCAGTGTCCCCTCAGCGATTGGCCTTCCTGCTTCGCTGGACAGTAGAGAGCCTCATGCTGAGCGACACTGCCAGTCTCAGAAAATGCAAGTTTCAAGTTGTTTCATCGACAAAGAGTGAAGTACAGGGATCAACAGAAGCCAGGAGGCAAACTCAATGTACAAGGAAGAGGAAGGAGAACTAGCTAGCTCCTCTCCTTCCCTCTTTCCCTCCCTCCCTCTGTCCCTCCGTCCGTCCGTCCGTCCCTCCATCCCTCCGTCCCTCCTTCTGTCCCTCCCTCCCTCCTTCCTTCCCTCCCCACTTCCTCTCTGAACAGGCTAAAGTTTGAAAAGTAGAAATACTGCGTAAATTAAAACTACATGTAACTTCAGACTGGGGGGCCAGGGATGTAGCTCAGTGGCAGCGTGCTTGCCTGGCATGTGCCAGGACCTGGATCCAGTCTCTTGCGCTGAAAAACAAACAAAATCAAAACCAAAGCCTCCTCTTGGTTCTTTCCAAAATCTGATCAACCTAAACAAATTAGATTTTTTAAACCCACTCATTTATTTTCTATTTTTATTTTCTTTTGAGAACAGACAATTTCTCGTGATAAAGCATAACTTTGTGAGGGCCTCCACCAGGCATAGATGTGGGTATTCCAAGGTGTTATTGTTTGTTTTAGCATATTGAGTACAAAATCTGTGGTGTCTCACTCTTTGCCTTGATAAACTAAAAAGTTATGTAAAGGCCAAAATCATATTTAACAACAAGAGGATTGTCGTGGTCTGTGGAGAGCCCCCCTTTGCCAAGTGCTGAGGTTGTGAATGGCCTGCTAGCCCAAGTGGTGAGTTTTTTAAATTTAGATTCCAGTTGATTCTGGGCCAAAGGTGCCTTCGTGTGGCCAGTTCCTCCATGAGAATTGTCTTCTGCCACCATCCAAGGAAGCAGAGACTGACTTCTTCACCTAGGACCTAAGCACCTCAGCGACCCTCAGAACTTGTCGCATTGGGCCCGGGTCCCTCTCAGTTCAGATTAACAAGGAGAGAAAGACTTGAGGGATGACTTTGTGGGAACTAAAGAAGGATGGAATGCAGACCTTTTGCAAAGCCCAGCCTTCCTCATCATGGCTCTCAGAGCTACTGCTGGTCCACCCACACTCGGCCTTTGTGACAATTAAAGCAAGGTACTTCTGGCTAGTGCGATGGCTCAGTGGCTAAGCATATGTATTGCAAAGGACCTGCGTTCAGTTCCCGGCACCCACATCAGACAGATCACAACTGCCTATAACTCTAGCTCCAGGGGTACCCAACATCTCTGATGTCTGTGAGCACTCTGTGGTGACACTCACATGCACATACCCTCACCACACACAAATGCATACAAGTAATTAAAAATAATAAAAATAGGGGTTGGGGACTTAGCTCAGTGGTAGAGCACTTGCCTAGCAAGTGCAAGGCACTGGGTTCAGTCCTTAGCTCTGAAAAAAAAAAAGAAAGAAAGAAAAATAATAAAAAATAAATCCTTAAAAAGTAAGGCACCCTCTGGGTGGGCAAAATTATGGCCCCATTCATCATTTTTGCACGGGTTTCAGGGAGATAGCTTTCTCTGTCTTTCTGCCTCTCGCTCTCTATCTCTGTCCCTCACTAGCTCTCCTCTTTCTCTCTTTCCTTCCTTCCCTCCCCTCTGCCCCCACTTAGCCCTCTCTAAGCCATCTTCTTCCTTTGTCCCATCCTCTCATGAAAGCTCTACTCTTTGGCTATATCCAAACATCTCCAGCATCCTGACCCCTGGGACTGAGTGCAGGCCCCGTCCTGGCCTCCCTTCCCACCGTATCACTCAGAGTCCCGTCTGCTGGCCTCGCAGCATACAGTTGCTTTTATTTCTCTTTCCCTGCTAGGGATCTAGCTCTTCTGACCCCCCTCACACTTCCCTGTCTTGCAACTGGGCATGGCCTGAGAACTTTCTTGTTTGCCAGTCATGAGTGGCTAACACACAGGAATCGTCGTCTGTACGCCCTTTCATTTTAATATCAAAAAGAGCGAACTGATTCATCTATGACTAACCCATCTATCAAAATGAATCCATCTCTAACTAATCCGCCTCTAACTGGATTGGTAGAAGGTCACAAACCACAAAGCTTCGTGTGAAAAGTGAGAATTTGACAAAATGAAACGTCTGGGGCTGACTTTAGTTTTAACATGGGTGGAACCTTCAGAAATAATGACCTGGATAGTGAACCCGTCCCAGAATATTAAAATCTTAGGGTCATATTTTCATGAAGTCTTTCCGTAAGTGTAGAACCAACAACAAATTCTCTTAATCAGTCCTGTCTGTGGATTAGAACCAGCGGGGAGATCTTTGTGGAACACCCTTGTGCTCTTGAAGTTGAAGTCTTGCATGCCCTTTAAAAGTTAAAATTCAAAAGCTCCTATGTTGACATATCTCTGCAAGTGAGGTGGCTGTCCTATGGGTAGGTTTTTTCAGGTGCATTCACTCACAGAATCCCTCAGCCAGATGTTTAAGAAGTGTGTACATCATTCTGTGGAAATTACACTTTCTTGTTAATGTTTTCAGTAAGTTTTCTACTTCCCACAATCAAGTCAGATCCTCTGGGCTAAGGACTCAGTGCTGTTTTTATTCTTATTCTTTCTAGCCTAAAGTAAGTATGACTGACAAATACGAATTATATGCAGTTAACATTCACAGCCTAACTTTGTATACATGCAAGGTGGCCCAGCCAGTAAAAAGCTCTCGTGACCTGAGTTAGATCCCTGGAACCCACATGTGTAAGGAGAGAACTGACTCCATAAAGCTGTTCTCTGAACTCAACATGGACACCAAGATGCACACACACACACACACACACACACACACACACACACACACACACACACCATAAAATAAGTGAATAAATGCAGAGGTGTTTTTAAGGAAAATAGAGCATTAAATGTTTAGGGAAAGGCTTTGTATTTCACTGGAAATTCTGTTTGGTATGAATGACCAGAAGCCCATAGAAACAGGAACAGGTCATCTGCCCCTCCTCCGCTCCTCCATGCTCTCTCACTGATGAGGTATTTGAGGACCGCTATCCTTGCAGGGCTGTGTATGAAGGCATTTGAGAGCGCAATGCAGTGACTTGGTGTTAGGTGTTGATTTTCTCAAACGAACAACAAGGTTTGGTTTGGAGGGGAAGTGTGGATGATCAACATCCACTTTGCAAATGCGTTTCAGGTGACGAGTGCACACATTTGGGCCGCTCATGCCTACAAGGCTCTCTTGACTACCCTGAATCCCAGGTGCTTCTTTCCTGCCCACAGGCACCCATCAGTAGGGAGCCCTGAGCCTGATGTCATTGAGATGCAGTGGCTCCACACAAGCCCCCGAGGCAAAGCAGATCTTGAGTTTAGCCCGAGGATTCTGAAAGGATTCTTGAGCAGTTAGATACACCACCAGGGGGTTTTGATGGCTTCCTGGCCTGGTGAGTTAAGACATGCACTGCTAATGCTAGGAGCTAATGCTAGATAATGGGATCGGCCTAGTTTTTGCACCAGCATCAGATGATGATGGCACTTTCCCTCACATCATCAGTATTTGGTAAAGCTGAAGCTTTACTCAGAGGCAGGAAGTTGCTAATACCTGAAGATTTCCATAAAATCACTCACCTATACTCCTAACACTAAACAGGGCTGAGACAGAAGGATTGCCATAAGTTCAAAGCCCTCTGGGCTATAGAGTACATTTCAGCACAGGTTGGGCTACACAATGAAGCCCTGCCTAAATCTCCATCTCCTCCT